CCTGTGAGCACGTGGAAGGCATGCAGGATCCCTGCACAGTTATGCAACGTGTTGATGGCTGCAGAAGCCTGGGTTCTGGGGTCCAAGGCTGCTCCAAAGCCTGGCCTCTGCCCCTGTGGTGCTCCCCTAATTCCCAGGCTGTGTTTTTAATGAGCAAATTCACAATTTTTGATCTGGCGTTGGCCTTTAACTCAGACTCCCCTCTGTGTGTCCTCTAATTTCATGCTGAGCTGTGGTTTTGCCCTTTTCCAGACTCAGCAGAAGCCCTGGGAAGGGGTTGTCCCCCAGGCTGCACAAATCCTGGGTGCTGTCACGCCCCTGTCACTGCTGCCCTGCCTCACCCAGTATCGCTCTTACACAACAGGGCACTCGTGTCCTGCTGCAGCTTCTGCCAATAATTAACATTCCCCGTGGTCCTGCTCATAGCCTGCAGGCCTGGTTTAAGCCCTGCCAGGGTGTTTGGCCTCTGTGGTACCCTGGAAGAGCTCCTTGGATGCTCACAGCCCCCTAAAAGTGTGAATCTTGGTGCAGGAAGCCAAATCCTGAGCAGGACTTGACCAGAACTGAACCAAATTCATCCCTCAAATTACTGAATCCTGTTGGTTCAGCTTTCCTTCCCTTCATCCCCCAGTCTGAAACACACAGCTGGTGGTCAAATCATCACAAACATCTGAGCTTCGCTTTGTGCCCTACACATTGAGTTCATCTCATCTAAACTGAGTCTGTCTCATCTAAGTTGAGTCTATCTCATCTAAACTGAGTCCATCTCATCTAAACTGAGTCCATCTCATCTAAACTGAGTCCATCTTGTCTAAGCTGAGTCCATCTCACACAAACTCTGCATGAAGGCTCCAGGAACACCTCCCTGGGGCTTTCCAGTGTTAAGGGGGTTTATAAAAAGTGCAGAGAGGGACTTTTTAGATGGGTAGATAACAACCGGACAGGGATTTTGCATTAAATAAAGGAGGGCAGGGCTGGAACAGATGTTTGGAATAAATTCTTTACTCAGAGGGTGCAGAGGCCGTGGCACAGGGTGCCCAGAGAAGCTGTGGCTGCCCGTGGAAGTGTCCAAGGCCAGGCTGGGATAGTGGAAGGCGTCCTGAACATGGCAGGGCTGGAAGGAGATGGGATTTAAGCCATGAAATCCCAGCCCAGGGATTTCTCTGTGCAGAGCTGCCCTGTCTCCCAGCAGAGCCCAGCTGGATGTGCTGCTGCTGGATGTGATCCCCGTGAGAGCAGCAGGGAGCCCTGAACTCGTTCTGCCAGCTCTGCTGCCACCCTGGGAGCTGCTTTCCTGCCCTCCATTGCCCAACGCTGCCCAGCTGGGAGCTGGGCTGATCTCTGAGCTCTGCAGCAGCCTCGGCGTCACATCTTCTGGGATTTATTTCACACAAAGGTGGAAGAAATGAGAAAGGGCTGGAAATATGCAGGATGTGCAGGGCTCTGTGGATGAGTGGGCAGGGCACGGGGCAGGCAATCACCAGGCAGGTTCCCCGCTCCTGCCTGGCTCCAGTTGTTGTGAGAAGCAGGGCCAGTGAATCATGGGCTGCTTGAGCTAATTCTCCCTGACTCCCCATGACTTCATCACTCGCTGCTGTTTGAAAACCTGCTCTGGAGCCTGTCTAAAGGAGTGCCCCGGGGTTGGCTTAACTGTTTCTGTTCTATTCAGTTTGAAGTGGACTCAGTTTCTTTCACTTTTTCATCCTGGGGAGATTGGTTTTCCGACACCAGCCGTGTGCAGCGATGTTGCAGAGTGGAAATGTTTTAATAAAACACCCCAACTTTCTGCTAAGTTCTGCTTTTCCAACAAAATGAAATTCTAAACAACCAACAGCAGAATCATGAGGTATTAATAAAAAAGAGCAAGGATTTAGAGGGGTCACAATCATGAAAAATAAGAGGATGCAAAAATGAAAAGTAAGAGAATAAAAAGGTAAAAAATCAGAGAAAGCCAAAAGGCTGGACAGAGATTTCAGGGGGAAAAACTTTCATTTTGCTGAAAAATTTGCCAGCTCCCCAGTGCATGCCTCAGTTTCCCTAATTGCTACGTGGGGTTACCAGCCCAGACCTATTTTGCAAAGGTGTTGTCAGGTTTAATTTGCGAACCTTTGAAAAGCTCTGCCGAGTCCTGGAGATGAAAGGCCCTGCAGATGCCACTCATGGGTGTGTGCTCTGAGTCACAGGCACAGCCAGGGACCTGCCAGGGGACACTCGTCCTGTGCAGGGACCAGAGCAAAAATCCCAAGGGATGCTCCTGCAAAAATGAACTCATGCTGGAGGCAGCAGGAGCCACCTCTGGGAGGGGCAGAGATAAGGAGATGTCCAGGCTGGGCTGTGTTTGGGCTCCTAAATTGCCTGGAAAATGTGTGTGTGCCCAAACTGGCACCTGGAATTTGAGGTCCCTGACACAAGGAGGACATGGAAGTGTTGGAGCAGGTTCAGAGTGAAGAATTTCTTCCAAATATCTGTTCCAGCCCTGTCCTGTTGTTGTCTACCCATCTAAAAAATCCCTCTCTGCACTTTTTATAAACCCCCTTAACACTGGAAAGCCACGGGGAGGGGTCCCTGGAGCCTTCATGCGGAGTTGGTGTGAGATGGTTGATGAAGGGGCTGGAGACAGGCTGAGAGGTGGGAATGTTGAGGCTGGAGAAGAGGAGGTTGTGTGGAGACCTCAGAGCACCTCCCAGGATCTGCAGGGGAAGCTGGAGAGGGGCTCTGGATCAGGAACTGGAAAAGGGGAAATGGATTCAAACTGCAAGAGGGGAAATTTGGGCAGGAATTGTTCCCTGGGGGGGTGGGCAGGCCCTGGCACAGGGTGCCCCTGGATCCCTGGGATGCCCAAGGCCAGGCTGGACAGGGCTTGGAGCAGCCTGGGACAGTGGAAGGTCCCTGCCATGGCACTGGATGGGCTTCAAGGTCCCTTCCAACCCATGCCGTGATTCTGGGATTTATCTGCATTTACATCAGTAAAACCAAGCTCTAAAAACTCAATCCTTGACCTTTTATCTGCCTTAGGCACCCCAAAATCTTATCAAAGCATCAGGAAAGCAAACCAAGGCCACCTTTGTCCAAGGCAGACCTCTTCCTTGGGATGTTTTTTGCTCCTCAAGGATGAACCTTGGCTGGAACAGCTCTGCTGAGTCTCCTCAGTACACGTGAGAACAGGAGCCTCCACCCTGCAGAATTTTTAATTACTTGGAGACTTACAGGACTGTTGATGTTCTAAAAAACAGCTCAGCCCAGCAAGCCAGGGGGAAAGAAATGCATTGATGTCAGTCAAATTTTTCCTTTATGAAATCTGCTCTTAAAAAACGGCATTGCCCTTTCCTGTGCTGGGGAATGAATTCTGACTCATGAAAGGCTGTGGGCCTATTAATAAAAAATTATTAATGAAAGAAATGCCCTTTCCCAACAACTACTACCCAGAAAAATGCAGAATGCCGAGGCATTTTTCATAAAGAGAGAGTTCTGAACACATGCAGGCAGCGAGAGGGGCTGGATCTATGAGCCAGGGGCCCAGAAAAAGAATTTCACTTTCTTTTTCCCTCATTCTGCACAGACAAGACCTTTAAAAATTACATTTTTAAGACGGGTTCTTTTCTTCTCCTATCAGATCCAGAATTTATGCTGTTCCTGCTTTGCCTCTGTTTCTTCCATATCTCAAAAAAGCTGGAAAATGCAGAGCTGGATTTTTACTCAAATCCCTTCCATCAGGGGGTTTCTGGTGGATGTTTAAGGAGATTTTTTACAGGTAAAAATCACCTTCTCCAGCAGCGCCACCGGGGTGTTCTGAGAAAACTCAATTAAGCACAAATCTCTGGCGTGCTTAATTTGCACCCTGGGCATTCATCTCAGAGAAATCTCACTGAAATTCCGAGTATAATCTGAAGGGATGTGAAAGGAAGATCAGCCTCATCCTTTAGAAGTCACTGGAATCCACCAGTGCTCATAAAGAGCTTTATTTCCTCCTGAAATCGTCTGTGATTCCAACAAGTGAACATTTCCCAGGGATTCAGCTGCTGGAGACAGATTGTTTTTAAAACTTTTTCACTTTTTTTTTCCCTGGGAAGAGACATTTTGACCATCTAAGCTGCACAGTGGTTCCTCTTCCAGGTGTGTTCCAGGCGTGTTCCAGTTCGGAGGCCAATTATGGGAAGAGCTACGTAGGATACACCTGAACCTTTATCTCAGAGCACACAATGGGGGATTTATTTCACCACTCATCTTTTGGAGATTGCCTGGCCTGTGGGAAAAGCAGGGCCAGCCAATTTTTACCTGTTCTGATCCGTGGCTGGGTTATTTCCAGGTCTAGATGGACAGACCTTGCACAAACCCAAAATAAAATCAAAATAAAGGTAATAGGGCCGTTTAAACCCAGTATTAACCATGAATTTCTCCTCCATCCTGAATGCAGCAAGCCCCGGGGGGAGCCTGCTTGAAGAATGCTTTATTCTAGGCGTTCATTTTAATTACAACCCTAATTATTTAGGTGCATGGCTATGACCCAGTTAACAAACCCACCCTGGGCATCTCGTGGTCTCCCCGACCCTGCCCATCTCTGCAAGGAGGGAACCTCAGCTGCTGGCCAAATTATTTTTGAAACAAGCAGTGGAACTGGTTGCTACATCTTAATGAAAATGAATTTTTTTTCTTTTCTTTTTTTTTTTTTAAGGAGACATTTCTATGTATATAAACAGCCCTTCCTCCCCAACCTGGTTAGACAAGAATGTTCCTGGGTGTGGACTGCCTTGTATAATTAAGTGCACAGCTGGAGCTTCTGATCCCTCCACGTCTGCTCCTTCCTTTCCTCCTTTCTTTCCCCCTGCATCCACCTGGGCGCGATCCGGGCGCGCTGCTCCTCCTCAGGAGCTCGGGGTGCGTCACTGGGGCAGGAAGGCTCCCTGCGTTCTGCATTCCAGAGCCATTCCTCGCTGAGACCAGCGCCAGGCAGAGCCTGCCTGCCTTGGAGGGGGGCTGAGAGACGGGAGCTGGAGCAGAGAGCGAGCAGAGAAACCTCAGACCCTGTTTAGGCCATGGAAACGGGGAGCGCAGCCAGGACGAACGGCACCGCCAGCAAGCCCGAGGACGTGAAGAGCCCAACTGCTCCCAAAAAAGAAGAAGAAGCCAAGAAGGCCACGAGCCCTGGCGGAGGTGAGAAAGAAGCTATAAAAGGCACGGGCGGTGCTGCGTTGGAGACAGGGCAAATCAAGAGCTCCCTCTTCTCTGGGAGTGACTGGAAGAGGCCCATCATTCAGTTTGTGGAGTCATCCGACGAGAAGAGGTCAACCTACTTCAGCATGGACTCGGCAGACTCCAAGAAGATGCAGTTTGCCAGCGGCCAGATCGGAGACATGAGGAGACCAGCCCTGAACTTCCCGGAGAAGGGCGACCTCAGGAAGTCCCTCTTCTCCTTGGATTCCAAAAAGAGCTTCCTGCCCGCTGACGGGGAAGGGAGGAAGTCCCTGTTCTCTGCAGGGCAGATGGGGGAGCTGAAGAAGTCTTCCCTGCCTCTGGTGGAGACGGGGGACCTGAGAAGACCCTTCAACAAGGCCGACAGAGCGGCGGGCTCGCGGCCCCGCGTGAAGCTGGAGGACGTTCTCTGCGACTCCTGCATCGACAACAAGCAGAAGGCTGTGAAGTCCTGCCTGGTGTGCCAGGCTTCCTTCTGCGAGCTGCACCTCAAGCCCCACCTGGAGGGAGCGGCCTTCCGGGACCACCAGCTCCTGGACCCCATCAGGGACTTCGAAGCCAGGAAATGCCCTGTGCATGGCAAGACCATGGAGCTGTTCTGCCAGACAGACCAGATGTGCATCTGCTACCTCTGCATGTTCCAGGAGCACAAGAACCACAGCACGGTGACAGTGGAGATCGAGAAGGCGGGCAAAGAGGTAATTTTATTCTACTTTTTTTCTGTTTTTAGTCCTCTTTTCATTCCTTATGTTCCCAGCAGCCTGCAGATGCCCATGTCACGCCGCAGCCTTTGCTCCCCAGCCTGCAATCCCTGCTCAGGTGATGCCTGGGGTGGAATCCTGGATGCAGTAGGTGGGGAAGTGTTTAGTGGAGAGTTGATATTGCCTGGCTGCTGTTTCCATGGGCTTGGTGTTCTCCTGATCCTGGCTGCAGCAGCAAGAAGTGGAGTTGGGCTGCAGGCTGCATTTAAGGATGGAGAACCTGGCTGCCAGCACACCTGACTTCCAGCAGAAGCTGAATCAAAGCCCTAAATTACAAATTTATAAAATTTTTCTTGAGTTTTGGCAGTATTTGTGTGGTGTTGCCCACAGAAAGGGGGCACTGCTCAGGGTCAGCACTTCCAGAATACAAATTGTCAAATCAGTGGCTGCTGAAGTTACTCATGGGCACTAATAACTATTGAAAATTGCTATCTCAGCTCCTGAGAGTGAGATTAGGTTTGTTTTTTTCTTTTCAGTTGAGCCACACCTATAGAAAAATGTCTTTTGAAGTTTAGATGGGAAAAAAAAAAAAAAAAAAAACCAAACCTTGGTGCAAGCACAAAACCTGATCATTTCCCCTGAAGTGTTACTACAACAGGTCCTGAGGATGGACATCCAGGGAGATTTCACTGGTGAAATGTCTTTCACCTTTGTTTGCTCAAAGACTCCTGTTGTTTGCTTTCTGGGTGGATGAGGAGCATTTCACTTATTCTAGCAAAAAATCAGGGTCTCACCACATTTGTTGCTACACATTCCCACGGTAAAAGCAAGAAACTTTCTAAGCAGACAAGCAGGAGAGATGCCAATAAAGAGACCTGTAAAACAATAATTACATAAAACAATGTGCCTGGAGTCACACACTCAGAACCTGGAAGGGCACTAAGATCTCCTAAACCCCAAACCAGTCCTGTGATGTGGTGACCAGGCAGGCACAGGTACCCGAGTTCCCTTAATGGGAAGAACAATTTTACTCTTTCCAAGGAGCTGGGAAGATTTATCTCATCAGGCTGAAGGAGCATCTTGTGTAGAGCTTATCTCTGGCTTCTCTGGTCTTTTCTTGCCATGCCATCTCCAGCTGGCAGCCTTGCTGAAACCAGACAAAGCCTTTTCCACGTCTCAGACAGCCTTTCCCAACTTCCTGCAGGGCTTTCCAGCCTGCTGTTTGTTCCATAATTGCCTGTCCTGGTGGTTTTGATGTCAGCCCTGAATGCTGCAGAGCTCTGACATAAAGCTGTGCCTGGTGTCTGCCAAGGTGTACAATTCCTGCCTGGAACGAGGTGAGCAGCTGCTTCCTGAGGAAGCAAAGCTGCTCAGATCCTTCCTCTTGTGGCTGGAGACACCTCCAGCACCTTAATTTTAAAGGCACAGCCATGGATGAGCAGAGAATGGGATTTAAATGCTGCTTGATTCCTGTCTCTGAGTCCTTGTGCCACCTTTAGCTCCTGCACTGGCTCTGCTGTTACTCAGCCTAAAGGATTTAGGATTTATCACCATGAATCATGCCCATGTGTGAGTTTCTCCTGACAGAGTTTGATCATGTTGTAACTGGAGCGAGCATTCACTCAGACAAAAACAATTAGCAGCAAAGCTGTTGCCTACAAATGTTTGTTCCCACCCCTGATTTATTCACCAGAGGTGGAGCCTCAGCAGGAGCCACAAAGAGCAATGAATATTTCCAAGCCCCTGGTGTGTAACACCTCTCCTTATCAAATCAGCCCAGCTGGAATGTGTGACCACAGACTGGGAGGGTGGCTGGGGCTGCTGCCCTTTTGGGAGGGAGAAGCAACAACCTCACACCAGGTCATCCCCATCCCTGCCCTGTTCTCCCAGCCTGGCATCCCAGCAGCTCCAGAGGAGCTTTAAAACCTCCAGATCCATCCTGACAGAGCCTTGCACACCTTGCTGGGTGTCCAGGATTTATCTGCAAGGATTTCCTCATCCCTGGCTGCTGAACTGGAGAAGATTCCAGAACTGGGGTTTGTTTTGCTGCACTGCCAGCCTGGGAGCTCAGTGATTTGGTGGCACAAAAGTGTCACAGAATAAGCTTGGTTTAGGTGCATCTGCCCTTCAGGTGCAGATTTCAGCCTGTCTTTGCTGTGGGCCTGTAGGGAGGAGAGGGGCTGTGAAAAGGAATTAGGAAACCCTGCTTGTCTCAAAGAGCAGACAGAGAAGAGGAATGCAAACAAGCCAGAACATAGACACCTATAGTTAGGGCAGTGCAAAGCCTGATATCTCTGTCCCAGACAGAGAACACAGCAGCATCTTCCACTTTTCAGGAGCCTGGGGTGAGAGACACTCACCCCCTGTTCCTGCTGAGCAGACACAAGTGAAAGGCACAGGGACTCAGACATTTGTCCTGACTTCCCACCCAGTGCTATTTGCCTATTTTACCCAGCAAACCTTTAATGCTCTCCCCAGATCCACTTTGCATTCATTTCCTGCTGCAGCTTTAAAGGAAAAGTAACAGTTTGCACCAGAACCAGTACAAAAACACAGCCAGGAAAAGGTCTGTGAGGCTGGGGAATAACAACTCACACTTGAAAAGTGAGAATGCTCCGCAGCAGCTTGTACAGCCCAATAAAACCCTGATTTATCAGCACAGCCCCCCCTTGGAGCCAGCATCCTTCATTCTGAAAGGGGCTCCTTCATCCCAAACCTGTTTTACAGGGCTGCTCTCCAAAGGAGACAATTTCACCTCTGCCTGCCAGTCCCAGAGCTGGAAAGAACCTGGCATTACCTTCCAGCACCAGCCTTGGTGCTCAGCATGCCAGGTCACCTCTGCTGAAAAACACTTTGATCTGAGGTTTTTTTTCTGTAATTCTTTATCTTTTAAAGCAAAGTTCGCTGTGGGTACAGGAAGGGGAGCTGGGTGTTCCTCCTTCCCACAGAGCTGCTTTGAAAAGGGGAGGTTTGAACAAAGGCTGAGCCAGGCTTTGAAGAAAACCATCCACAGAGATGGATCCAGAGGAGTTTCCATCCCTGCATCACCTTCACTGAACAGAGAGGAAACAAAATTAAACCTTGGAAGGGCTTGGGGGCCTTTCACTGCTGCAGTGTGGCTGTGAGATTTTACCAACACCAGCTGTGGCTTCTCTGTGGACACAGCTCAAAATAGATGTTCTTGTCCCCAGAGTTTGCTGCAGGAAGGATATTCTTCTCAGCTGGAAATTGGAGTGAATTTGTCTGTTTGCCCAAATTCTGCATTAATCCTCTACACTGAGGACAGAATCCAGGGAAAATCCACTTGTTGGAGCAAGGAATTCTCTCCAAGATGTGCAGACTCAGCTTTTCCAGTGGCATTTTATGGGATGCTGGCAGAGTCTCCAGGGCTTTCAGCCCTCTGACACCCAGCCCTGCTTCACAGAAACCGAGATGGGAAAATGCAGTTGTGCACCCAGCAGAAATCATGTCCCAAACACCCCCCTGGCTTTTCAGCCACTGCACTGGGACGACGAGTTGGAACAGCACTTCTGCTTTTTTGGTTAATTAGCAGAGCTCTCCCAGGCTGGGGACACAGGGCTGTTCCCAGAGCGTTCAGGGCATGATGCTGCTTGTGCTGCTGCTGCCTCCTTGCACAAAGCACTTGCATCATCGTGCAGGGCTCGTAATCTCCCATCTGCAGCTCCTCCACAGCACCAGGGCTGGGTTCAGCTCTTTGGATGTACACTCTGAACTTTCACTGAAGCCTCTTAACTGCCCTAATTAACTGAGGCTCTAATAGGGGAGCCAGTCTTAGCTTGAAGGTTCTCAGTGCCTTCATTTCTCAGCCTGCGGTGCTAAAAAATTTGTCTAAATCTGGATTTCCTGGCATTTTCCCCCACTGTTCCTGTTGTTTCTGCTCTGGAGGGACCCCACAATGGGGGTATGTTGCTGTGTTATCTCTCATTAGGACCTTCTGAACCCCAAATCCTCCAATGGATTTGTTCTAGAGGGTCCATCAAGGATTTCTGACCCTGGAAAATCTGAGAAATATGAAGACAGATAAGAGTTTTCTCTTGGGCAGTGAAGCTGAGGCACAGTGTGTCCCTAACCCCTGTGGCCCCCATACTGTGACTGTGTTTCTGTCATATACATGGGCAGCCAAAACAACCTTCCAGACAAAAAAAAAAAGCTCTTAAAACCATCAGGAAATCATGTCCTGAACCCTTGATGTTGTGCTCCACCTCCAGAGCTCCCTTGCTGAGCCCTTCTGCCCATGCCACCAGTTTTTCCACTACTCCAGGGTCTCCCTGCACCTCTCTTTAACATTTTTTTCCTATGTTTAGATTGGTTTTTTTGTAGTATTTATTTAATTTCATGCAGTATCCCACAATCACGCCTCCCTTCACCTCCCCTGCCCCTGCTGCACTCTGTGCTGGCGTTTCCCCTTTGCCAAATCTGGCTGAGTGTGGGATTTGCATCCTGGCCATTGGGACCATCTCTGTAATTTCCATTTGCAAGTCATAAACCTGCTCCAAATTGTTGCGTGCCTCTGCTCTTAAATGGCTGCTACATCCCACAGCACCTTTCTGGGAGATGTTTGAACTGCTGGGAGTCACGATCACTTTTACAAATAATAGTTCCTAAAATTCCTTGGAGACCCATCTTAATTAAAAAGGACCACAAAAGCATAATATTGTCATCACCACCTTCCAGACATCACCTGATTTTTTTTCCTGTCATTTTCTCTGAATGTCTACATGGCTGTGAAAGTTCTGCTCTTCCCCAAAAATTCCTCCCATTCAATAAAATTCCAATGAAACCTAGAAAACCTTCTCTGTAGGATTTTCCTCCCATTCTTATAAGGATGTCCTGATTTTTGGGGATGAGGAGGGAACTCATTGCTCTGTAAATGAGCTTTTTATTTCACAAGCAATCAATGCCAACTAGATGCAGCTCCGTGGCTCAAGGAAACAACTGGAATTTGGGTGTAATTTCTCACATTGGTTAATGCGGTGGATAAATGGATCTAAAACATTTTCATCTCATTGCATTTCCCTGCTGTGCAGAGTCTTGATGGGCAGGACATCTCCCACTGCACGTGGGAATGGAAACCAGCAGGAATTCCTCCAAGTCACCGTCTTGAAAATGTGAAAATGATGGGATCAAACTCCTGTCTTTGTTCTTTTGATCAGTAGCAGAGCAAATTTTCTCATCTGGAAGCCAGTGTGGGTTCCCTGGTGAAGCTGTGCCACAAAATCCTTCCCTGTGTGCCCTGAACCCCTGGAAAGGGTGAAAATCAGCTCATGGCAGCATTCAGGCCACTACTGAGGGTGTGTAGATAATATTTAGAAAGCCAGTGCTCTCCTAACTCTTAAAAACAATGTGAGGACGCAACATTTGAGGCACTGAGATGCCTCTGAGCACACTTCCCTTTTTCCTGCCCACTTTTCCTGTGTTTTATAGGGCAACAAAACCACCATCCAACCATTGTCCCTCCATAAACAGAGATTTTCTGAGTTGGAACAGCTGGGGTTGTTGGCTCTCAGAGCTGCTGTGCTGGATTCCAGCTCCAGAGGCTGTTCAGACACTTGCCTGGCATCAGGACAAGAGCTCCTGTCTGGGCTGGTCCACAGCTTCTTTCCTGCTCTTCATTTGGAGTGGAGAACTGAAAACCTTCAACCTCTGATCAATAAAGACCCAGATTTCCACGTTCCAGTACGTTCCTGGATGGACAGCTGGAAAGTGAGAGTGGATTTCTCCATCCATGCCTGTAATTGTTGGCCTGAATTTCAGTGGTTTGGGTTCATCTAATGATTTTGCAGAAGATCCCACACGAACAGCAGGTTCTCAGGACTCTCCTAACATGACAGAACATGGAATTTCTGCCAACTCTGAAATTCCTCAACAGCTCTGGGCTGGGTGTCCCACAGCCAGATTGCCTCCAGCCATGGCTGAGACCAACCTGCACACACATGAAATGCAGAAATGCCCCAAAAAAGGCTGGGGCAGGATCTGTGGGGCAGGGATGGAGAATGGGAACGGCCCAGGGAGGCATTGCTGGAGTTAACGGGGCAAGGCTTTGCCAACATCCAGGTCCAGGGCTGATCCAGGGAAAAAATGATCCAGGGAAACAGTGCATGGTCTCCACTGCCACAAATTCCTGTGCAGGTCTCAGCTCTGAGCTTCTCTGGGAAGCCACTGCACAACGAAATGCAAATGAATCCCAGCGAAGTTGCTGATCTCAGCCGAGCAGGTTGACTACACCTCTTCCCTCCTCCTTTTGTGGCTTTTCATTTTTCCTTTTCAATTTTTTTTTTCCAAGCATTCCCCAGCTCCATCGCTACATGAAAGCTCTCAATTCAGAGCAAATTAATCCACAATCCTGTCTAAACAGAATTCCTGCCGGAGGCATCATCCTCTTGTTGCAACACTCGTCAAACGTCATTCCGTAATTGCATGAAAACTGTTATTGCTGCACAGGCACACCCTGGGCTGGGCCCTGCTCTGCACACACAGCTGAATTTTGAAACAGCTCCCTTCCCCTGAAGCTCATGACTCCCATGTGATTAAAAGCAGCGCCCTGACAGCCTGGGAGGTGGGTGCTGCTGCTTTGCTGAGGGAGCTGAATCTGCTGGGACGGTGCCCGCTGGCAGCACGTGATGCCCGGCTCAGCCTGGACCTCCCTGCTCTCTGCTCAGCACAGCAGTGTGGACAGAGAGAGAGAAACAGCAAGTGTTTCTCACGGGGGCTTGTGAGAACTTTTAGGGAGTTGTAAGGATGTGGTAACTTGTTAAGTAGGAGTCTGCAGGTGGTGGTGTTCTTCTGCTTTGTCTTTGTGTTCTTCTCAAGGAGCGTGAGGAAGGTGTTTTTGTTAAGTAACCAATCAAATAGAATGTATCATATCACTCCATATAAACCACGTGGTTCTCTTGAATAAAGCCTTCTTTTGCTCTTTCTACAAAACTGGAGAAGATCTGCAAGGCAGACCTGGCCTGTCCCTGTGTCATTCTTGGCGGAGGAGCGACACAGCAGGGCAGGCTCGGGGCTAGTGGAAGGGGCCACGCTCAGCCCCAGCTCACCAGGCTCCCTCCCCTCTCCTCTCCTCCCCACAGACCGAGCTGTCGCTGCAGAAGGAGCAGCTGCAGCTGAAGATCATCGAGGTGGAAGATGAGGTGGACAAGTGGCAGAAGGAGAGGGACCGCATCAAGGTGCGTTTGAGGTGTCCAGTTCACCCCTCCCTCCTGTAAGCGCCAATTCCTGCTCCCCTCCCCTCCCACATCCCTCTCCTTCCCTCCAGCTCTTCCTCACTGCATCCCTTCCCCAGCCTTTATCTCATCCCCAGCCCAAACTCCAAGCCAAATCTTGGAAACAACAACTCCCACTGAAGTCATCTTGCGACATTCCCTGCGGGGAGATCGAGCCCTGATAGAAAACCAAGGCACCTCCCTGCTCTGGCTCCTTTTTTAGGTCCTTTATGGCCCTTCCATCACCAGTAGCCAGGCAGATTTAGAAACAAAACCCACAAATAACCTGCAGAAGGGCTCTGGGTTGCCCAAACTGAGATAAGACAGCAGCAGCATATGAATTTACCCCAACAAATATCTTATTTATGGTGGAACAGCTTATTTCCATGCTGAGAGAGGGCTCCTTTGTAATTCTTGCACCGTGGTAAGGGTTGGAACAGAGTCATGGTATTATTTTTTTCATTTATAGCCTAACTGAATAAAGCAGTGAAAGCACAAGTTGGAGACACCCCAGAAAATTTGCATAATATTAACAGGCAAAGCCATTCTTCTCCCTTTTATGTGGTGCTAGCACATTGGCTCACCAGCCCTGCTTTTCATCTGCTTTATTATTACTATTATTATTACTATTATTATTATTATTATTATTATTATTATTATTGGAAATCTGACCTAGAAATTTTGACTCTCAATATAGTTACATCCCCAGTCCTTCTGAGGAATATTTCAGAGGCACCTTGAGGTCAGGCTTGTAAAAAGTGTTTCAGCACCTTTCATCCTTTGAAATGGTGGGAATTTGGTCCTCAAATAATCCAGGAGCCAGAGCACTGATTTAGAAGGTTACAGAGTGTTTTTAAATGTCACCTGTGAGTGCATGAATTGAAATTGGAGATGTGCTCTTACCGCTGGGAAGGCAGTGGCCCTGTTGGATTGCATCCATGTGAATATTGCAGGAGCAGGTATTGCTTCTCTTGGCACAACTTTCCTGCAGCTGAGACTTGCCTAGCTGGAGTTTCCATACTCTAAATGCTGAATCCTTGGATTTATCCCCCTCTGTGTCTCTCTGTTAGCAAAGAACTCAGTGAAATTTTAACATTTTCTTGCTCCTCTTTCCCGCTGCCTCCCCTCTCTGCCCCTTCCCCACCCAGAATTACACCACCAACGAGAAAGCCACGGTGGACCAGCACTTCAAGGAGCTGATCCGTGACCTGGAGAGGCAGAGGGATGAGGTGAAGGCTGCCCTGGATCAGAGGGAAAAGATCGCCTCAGAGAACGTGAAGGAGATCGTGGATGAGCTGGAGGAGAGGGCGAAGCTGCTGCGGGAGGACAAGGAGAACAGGGAGCAGATCCACCAGATCAGCGACTCCGTGCTCTTCCTGCAGGTGAGAGACACCTCATTGCCCTTTCCTTTGTCCCCGTGAGGACTTTGGGATTTGTCCCCGTGAGGACTTTGGGATTTGTCCCAAAGACAAGCCCAAAGAAGTGCGAGATGTGTGAAACTCTCATGGTGAGATGGTGAGAGATCGTGGATGAGCTGGAGGAGAGGGCGAAGCTGCTGCGGGAGGACAAGGAGAACAGGGAGCAGATCCACCAGATCAGCGACTCCGTGCTCTTCCTGCAGGTGAGAGACACCTCATTGCCCTTTCCTTTGTCCCCGTGAGGACTTTGGGATTTGTCCCCGTGAGGACTTTGGGATTTGTCCCAAAGACAAGCCCAAAGAAGTGCGAGATGTGTGAAACTCTCATGGTGAGATGGTGAGAGAGATGGGGAGACTGAGTGGTGATCAGAATCCAAATTTACTGTGGCCTACATGTGCTTATATACTATTCTTATAGATTTCATTTCCCTTCCCTTTGTCCTTGTGAGGATGGGATTTGTCCCAAAGTCAATCCCAAAGAAGTGCGAGATGTGCAAATTATCATCAGTGGTGAGAGACTGAGTGGTGGTCAGAATCCAAATTTTTTGTGGACTATATATTCTTATATATTATTCTAGGAAGGCTAGTCATGTTTTACTATAGTGATTGGGTTCATCATCACATAAACTTCTACACTCTGCAACATCTCTTGATGGCAGAAGTTGATTCTTCTTTTCCTGTCAGCCAGTCTTGATTCGGCCTTCAGCTGGTCTTGATTGGATCCTCAAAGCTCTGCTTGTTCTTGCCAAGGCATGCTAATTATCAGGTCTCATATGCTAATCAGGTCCAAAGCACTCTGTCTTGTGTGCCCCAATGTGAACCTTCCCCAGTTCCCTGCACATCCAGGACAGGAATTCATGGGGACATTTGGAGCTGTGTCTGCTCTTGTGGGTGAGGAATGGACTTGGACATGCCTTTGGTTTGTATGGATGGCTGCAAACCGTGGACAGAACATCTCCCTGCCCACCTTCCCTGCTTTCCTTTCCCCTTCTGGATTCTAACACCAACCAGCTCCCTCCTATTCAGCCTCCACACTTTTATGCTCCTCATTAATGCAACCCCTTTCTTTGGCAGGAATTTGGGGCTCTGATGAGGAATTATGTGCCCCCTCCATCCCTGCCAACCTACAGCGTGCTGCTGGAAGGGGAGAGCATGAGCCCATCCATGGGGCTGCTCAGGGATGACCTCCTCAACGTCTGCATGAGGCACGTGGAGAAGATCTGCAAGGCAGACCTGGGCCGCAACTTCATCGAGAGGAACCACATGGAGAACGGTAAAACATCCCAAATATTCCCCTCCTGCTTCCCTGGAGGGGGTGATGAGGATGGTGAGCACTCCTGGTGAGGGAGAAAGTAAGCAAATACCTGAGGAGAAAGTGGGAGTAGCGACTCACGTAGCTGGAATTCATTCTGGAAGATGAGAGTTATTAGAATGTGAATTCTGGAATATCGGAGTTATTCAACCTCTCCTATGTGGGGATGGAATCAGTTGAACTGCCAGGGATGGGGGTATCTCATACAGGACACCAAACTGGCCCCACTTCCCTGATTTATGGTTCATTTTAGGGTTTCATATTTAGGATTTAATGGGTTCAGCCACCTCCTGTGTGGAGTCAAGAGCAGCCACCCTTCCCTCCTGCCATGTGCCAGGCTCCAGCAAGCCCCTGGAAGTTTAGCAGGACATTTTCCAGGATGGAAAACTCCACAGATCTGCTGAGGCAGCTCAGTGAAGGGTGAATTCACAAAGTGAATGTGGGATGGCAAGTTTGAAATCCTATTTGTACCACTCAATTAGCACCTGTAGGGTGCTGGTGTGACATCAAATATTACAAGTGCAGGGTTTCAGCACTGAAATACCCTGCAAGCACCTGTCAGTGAGAAAGAAATGTTTGAAAATCTAATTTTCCAAGTAAAAAATGGCTCAGTTTGGGTGTTTAGCTACAACTGGAGCTGGAATGACTCTGATCATACTCCCTCTTCCACTTGGGAGAGATTTCCTGCCTGCCCTGACCCAGGTGTTCCCCACATTCCGTGATGCTTAAGGTAATCTTTAAGGTGAACAGAGAGGTCACAGCCACCACCACAGCAGCAAAATTAATCTTTTAAGTTTATAACCCACTTCCTCACAATTAGCTGTGAATAAAGCACTTGTCTTGCATCAGGCTCACACCGGAGCTTGGGACAGGGCACCACAACGGGGCTGTGTTGTCTGCACTCCCCAGCCCTCCCTCAGGCTGCCTTTGCAACCCTGGGCATGTTGCCCAACCCCAGGGATGACCTCTTGCAGCAGGGATGGCAATGAGTGCTTATCTCACCTGGATGTAATCTCTCAGCCACTGGGGAAGCCCAATACCAGGCCAGCAGTGGGTGATGTGAGGATAAATGGCACCCTGCTCTTCCAGGAGGATGTGGGAGGCCAAAAGGTGCAGGAGTAACCTCAAGGACAGCTCATGCAACACAGGAGATGAGGAATTCTGCTGCAGATCTGCAAAATCGCTGATAATTCACTCAAATTCACAGTATTTACTGGGCACCCCTCCTGAGTTAATAATTAAACTGTCCAGAGCCATCATCCTCCATCAGACATGAATTAAATGGACCAGATCCTTCTGGACCAACCTTTCAGGAAGGTCAGGGATCCCAGAGTGCTCAGGATGCACAGATAGATGAAGATTTTAAAACTCTCCCTGCCTTAATTGAACATTACTTATCTTTCATCACTGCAACATTCCTGTTTAAATTCCCAACACTCCACATGCTCCAGGATTACCGAGAAATTTGACAATAACTCAATATCAATAGATGACAAACAGATGCAAAAATCACTTCTGTGCATTTTTCTTTCTTTGTTCACCTGAAGCTGTGCAGAATTTCCATCTGCTGGGCTGGGTTTTGCTATTCCTGCAGCATTTTCCTTGGGAATTTTTAAAACCCAACAAGGTTCTGCAGCTACTCAGTCCTGGTAGCTCAGGATAAAGCCTGATTACCTCTTGATTATTTTAATTGGGGTCTCCTCCATGTTATTGATGCCAGAAGCCCTGTTTTTATTTGAAATCCATGGAATCCAAGTGCCAAAACCATTTTTATCTGCTGCCAAAAACCTGGGTGCTTCCAGGATTGCTTTACCAGGGACTCAGCTTGGATTCTGCCCTAATGAAAAGTTGGGAACAGGTGGGAAATGTTATTTATGGCGAGTCCCAGGAGCTTCAGAGCTCTCCCTTCTCCAAGCCATGGTTACAGATGAAAGAGGGCAGCACTCTGCATCCAGTGGCTGCCAGGGAATTAAATCCATTAAGGCACTGTGGAGTTATTAACACAGACTCCCCCTGAGTCACTGCAACAAATTCATTTGCAGCTGGCTTGATCTTCCACTGTAAAAAACTTCCCAGGAAGAAATATTATATTAATGGAATGAAAGCTGCTTAATAGCAGACTCCAAAGGGAATCCATGTCCTTTTAGTTGTCATAACAGGTACCTATGTGGTGAGGAGACAAATAATCAGGGAGCTTAAATAGCACTGAAATAAATGGGAGAAATGAAAGAAAAGTTTGTTCAGTGGCTTGAGAATCAAAGAATGGAGCTATTTAAACATGAAAACCGAATTTACTTCCTTGCAGAGAACAATAGGTTTATAGAGGCTTCCAAAGAATGTTTTTATGAGCAAGTGTAGTGATAAAGCCTCATTTCCTATGAATCAGTGTCAGAAACACAAACTCAGGCTGTGTAGGAGTAAGTTTGATCTATGAAACCTGAACCAACCCCTGTCCAAGAGTTCAGAGCTGTTTGCAGCTCAGCTTTAGCATCTCTCTCTGAAAACTGGAGAAGCCAACCCATTTGACCCTCCCAGAAGTGATTTCTGGAGCTTTAAAGAGTGGCAGTTCTCCATCAGCCAGCCCTGTGCTCAGGCTGAACACACAAAAGGAGCCAAACTCAAACTTCTGGAGTCATTTTAAGCCACACAACATCATTTTGGTAAGAAAATGCCTCAGCCCTCAGGTCTCCCTATGGATTTTAGAAGAACCTGTGTCTGCTGCGAGGTTGAATGCTTCAGCTGGGCTCTTCCTCTGAAGGAATCTTTTATTTTAGACCCTGGCCAGCTCCAGAACTGCTTTATCTCCCAGGCAAAGATCCCCCAGGGGGATTAAAGGCCCCCAAAGTGCATCCCCGAGCTCATGCCCTGCTCTGCCTCTCCAGGGGACCACCGGTTCATGATGAACAACTACGAGTGGAACCAGCCCGACAACCTGAAGAGATTCTCCATGTTCCTGTCTCCCAAAGGTAAGGATGTCATCCCACCGCTGGGCAGGCTCCCTTCCAGCTCAGGAAAGGGGCTGCACTGATGATCCAGCCCAAAATTTGCTCTCTTCCACATCTCAGATCCATCCCTCTGCACATTTTCTCTCCAGCTCACAGAGCTTTGTCAAGGTTTTGCCTCAAAGCAGGCAGAAAAATGTCTCAGTTTTATGGGGAAGAGCTGGAGTGGCTGAACTTTGTGAGACAGTGAATATAGGGGAGTTTTTACCTGGGTTTCCAGGATAAAATCAGTGTTTTTCTCCACCCAAAGCTTATCTCTCTGTGCTATCAAGTGAAAGAAGCATTAAGATTTTACTTTCACCACCAAACACAATTTTTCCTTAAAGGGAAAGGACAGAAGAAGTGAGGAACGTGTCCTAAAAAAAAACTGGAGCTCTTCTGTGAGCTCTCACAAGAGCCCTGGTGATTTGTTTCTATCCCACTTGTTGTGTGGCCACTTCAGGATGAATTTTTGGAGTGAACCAATGTTTCCAACACATCCAGCTCTAAAATCACAGTTGGCATTTCTAAACTGGCATCCAGAGCAATGAGCTGAGAGTGCTGAAAGCCCAGACAAGGCGAGGAACAAAAGAACAGGAAGGGTGGCAGGACACAAGTGACCAAATTTCAGCCCTGCCCCGGTTTGCCAGGTGTTTCCAGCTGCTGCTCTGCAGCAGAGGGTGGGCAGGGACAGGCAGCAGGGACACTCCCTGAGGGCACATTCCTGCCCTGTGCTGGTGTTTCCTGAGGATAACCCAGACCCAACACTGATCCCTTTGTCTGGATTGTCACTTTGCCCTTCTGTGCCCTCAGCCCACCCTGGCAGCTCCCTGAGGGTCTTTGGGACAGGGCTGGCATTCCCATTTCAGTGCCAGCAGGGCTCTTCCCAAGTTCAGGGGCAGGGCGGCATATTTGAGAGTTGGGTTTGTTTTTCTGCTCTCCTTCCTCAGGGTTTGCAGGCCCTGTGCTGTCAGGGAAGTTCTGCTGAGATCACAGACTCAGCCCTGCACCCAAAACTTTCCAACCCTGAGGGAGATTTGAAAATCAGCACAAGCTGAGCTTATCTCTACCCAAAATGTGGAGCTTTCAGGTGGAAACAGCCCCAAAGGCATTAAAGGGTGTGGCAGGGAGGAACACCGGGCAGTGTCATCCCCTGGGATGGGGACACTGGCAAAAAGAAGGGGAAAAAGAAGGAAAAAGCCATTTTGGCAGTGGCACAGCACGAGTGCCTGAGCTTCCCACACCTGGGAGAAGATGCTCCAGCTGGGATCCAGCATTCCAGCTTGCTGAAGATCCAGGAGGAGGGATCCCCAGGCCCTGCCAGATCCGTGGTGATTTGTGTCCAGAGCAGAGTGAGGGCTGCACAGCCATGCCCTCCTCCTGCTGACTGTCCAAAGCTGGGTGATGGTTTATCCCACCTCCACATCCATGTTTTCCTGGAAACACTGACAATGCTGCCTTCCCAATCACTCACTCTGTGTTTTCTACCAACAAAGTGACTCTGGCCAAAACAAGCCAGGCCATGAGTGCACAGAGAGCCTGTGCTGGATGGGGATCAAGCAGGGCCAGGGCTCAGGAGGATCCATGATTGCACAGAGAGGCTCTGCTGAACAGGGATTGAGCAGGGCCCAGCAGGGCCCAGCAAAGCTCAGGGAGGATCCAGTTGATCCAAGATTGCACACAGAGCCTGTGCTGGATGGGAACTGAGCAGGGCCAAGGCTCAGGAGGATCCATGATTGCACACTGAGCTGTGCTGAACGGGGATTGAGCAGGGCCCAGCAGGGCTCAGCAAGGCTCAGGGAGGATCCAGTTGATCCAAGATTGCACACAGAGCTGTGCTGGATGGGAATTGAGCAGAACCAGGGCTCAGGGAGGATCCACACAGAGCTTGTGTTGAACAGGGATTGAGCAGAGCCAAGGCTCTAGGAGGATCCATAATTGCACACAGAGCTGTGCTGGATGGGGATTGAGCAGAACCAGGGCCATGGAGGATCCAGCTGGTCCATGATTGCACAGGAATTGAGCAGGGCCCAGCAGGGCCAGGAAGGATCCAGCTGATCCATGACTGCACACAGAGCTTGTGTTGAACAGGGATTGAGCAGAGCCAGGGCTCAGGCAGGATCCAGCTGCTGGAACCACGCTGGGGGACATTTGGGGAGCAGGATGAATCAGTAGGCAAAGCAGGAGACATGACCCACTTGGCTTGCAGGCTGGCTAGCCAAGGATCACCCCATGAATAATGCACCATCCCCATCATCATTTAACTCTGCTGAGCTCTCTGTGTCCTGTCGCTGTGGCATCAAAGTCCAGCAGTGCAGCTGATTGCATCTTTGTTCAAGAATCCCAAAAACAGGAGGGAAAAATGGGGACCACCCTCTGCATTGTGTAACGCCCTTGGAATCCTTCAATATCTCATGGCAGCTTTGCTACACACCCTGTTTTCAGGCTGGGTCACTGCAGATTCTGCCCCAGGCCACAGTGGAAAGTCTGTTTGCTGGATTGAGGAATGCTCTGTGCTAATTACAGCAGCCCAGACTGGGGAACTGCTTGGATTCCAGCTGAACCTATTGGGTTTAAGCCCTGCTTAAATTCAAGACTTCCACTGCTCTTGAGTTTCATAATAAATGGCTTCAAACTGAGAGAAGGTTTATATGGGATATTAGGAAGAAATTCTTCCTGTGAGGGTGGTGAGGCCCTGGCACAGAGCAGCTGTGGCTGTCCCTGGATCCCTGGAAGTGTCCAAGGCCAGGTTGGATGGGGCTTTGAGCAACCAGATGTCCCTGCCCATGGCAGGGGCTGGAATGAGATGATTTTTAAGGTCCCTTCCAACCCAAACTGTTCTGTGATCCAGTATTTGCTTGCAGGGATGGCAGGATGAGGCGGAGGGGCATAAAACACTTCAAACACTGTCTCAAAGACAGAGGAACAATCTGTCCAACTGCTCCACGCTCCTTTCTGTCCTCTCCCACTAAACTTTCTTCTCCTAATGTGTCAAACAGTTTGGCCAACGCCAGGAGGAGATTGGAAAAATCATCTTGAAAGTCTTTGAATGAAGAGTAGAAGGGACTCAGGCACACAGAGAGAGAATTGTGTAAACAGAAACACTTCTTAAACAGAGAAGCAGCCCACAGGATGGCAGCAGAGCAGCTCCAAGGATCCATCTTTTTGCTTTCCTGGGAGCCCAGTGCCCCCCCAGAGGGCTGCAGCAGCACCAGTCTGTGTCCTGGTGGGAGCCTGGGGCACACACCTGGCCCAGGGCTGGGAAATGTTCCTGCCCTGGTGTCTGTGGAGCTCTGAACCCAAAGCTCTGCCTGCAGAGCTCTCATGTTGAGTACCCAAACCTGAGCTGGCAATTTCCTGCAGCTCTGTGGCACTGGGAACTCTGCTCACTGCAGAAGCCTGTTCCCCCTTCCCCAAGACCCAGAGATAAAACCCAACTTCTCCTCTGCTGCCTGGGTCCAGATTTCTGTTCTGGGGCTGCTCCCAGCTCGGTGGGGACCTTTTCCTAGAGCAGTGCCAGGCACAGGCCTCATCAGGAGCCGACTGCTGAACTGGATGCTCTTGTTTTACAGCCAATTTCAACCCACGGTCATGGGAATTTTCCTCCTTCCAAGCGACCGAGGAAACACTTGGTACGGGTAATTCTGCCTTCAGTTTGAGAGGATCTAACCCCCCGTGCCACAGCTTTCTGCCTGACTAACCCACCTCTCCTGCTGCCCCTCTCAGCTGCCCTGGCACCTGAAAATCCCAGAGCCAGCCCCTGCTGGGCTGTCAGCACTGTCTGCACACAGCCCAGCCCGGGCTCTCTGCTCAGAGCAGGGAAAGGCACCCCTGGTTCTGCTTGAGCACAGAGAAAGGAGGTGCAGAACACAGGAGGCAGCTTGCAAAGATCCCCAGACCCCGAACATCCAGAGCACCCTGAGGAGGTTGTGGCAGAAGCAGGAGGAGACTCCAAGTACTCCCAGCCAGTCTCAGAAGCACAAGGTGCTTCTTTCTATCACACCTTTTATTATTAAGTTCTCAAAGACACAGCCTGGCCCACGTTCATGCCTTTTCTTCCCAGACCCCCATCTTCTTTTCCCAACATTTTTCTCCTCTGCTTTGTTCCTACAAGGTCCAGCCTTTCCCATGGTGCTGGCAGGAGCCAGGGCCACCCTGCCTGGGGAGCTCTGGTGACTCAGAGCCACACCTCAGCCCCTCCTGCCTTCCACAGGCAGGGCTGTGCCCCTCTCGTCTCCCTGCTCTCACATTCCTTCTGGCAGCCAGGGCCTGACCCCGAGGAGGCCAGGAGGGGAAGCTTTAATGGTTTGAGTGAAGCCTGGGAGGAAGGGCAGTGCTGGAGTCATCCCTCCTGCCTCGGGAGGTGCAGGGAGCTGCTCCACACCTGCACTCTGGGGCTCTCAGGAGAAAGGCTGGTCCCTGCCTGGAGCTCTGGCATCACCTCACACCCACACACTGCTGCCTGCCCTCTTGTTTTAAGGAGAAAAGGGACAAAAGGGACAAAAGGGACAAGGGACTGGTGCCCCCCCAGCCAGGCGAAGGCAGCGTCGCAGGGGGGTTTGGAACTGCCCCCCTGCAGCCCCGTGGAATAACACAACCTCTTTATCTTCCAGTAGGCAATGGCACTAAGCTGCCTTTTCAGTTCTCCTCGGTGGGACAGAATCCGCCCGGTGACTTCAGCAAACAGTCTGACGGGAGCCTCTTCACTAAGACCGGTACTAGGAACTGACTGTTCCCCTTCCTCCCGCCCCTCTGAGGTGCCAAACCCCCCAGTCCTGCTCTGCCTTCCTGCCCCTTTGAGGTGCCAAACCCCCAAATCCTGCTCTGCCTCCTGGAGCAGTCCTACACCTTGGCCTGACTGCCAATCTCTGAGGCACCTGCACAGGAGCCACTCTGCTGAAGCAGGGCAGCAAGGATTGTTCAAAAATATTAAAGTTTTATCTAGGGAGCAGGTGGCGGGATTTTAAATTTTGTTTGTAGTGGGTAGGGATAAATTTTAGATGATTCTTGCGGAAGGCACCGTTTGCCCCTCTGGTTTCATCCCTGAAAAATAACACAAACAGCACAACCTTAAAAAAAACCAAAACAACAAAACATGCAGGAGCTGCCTGTCCTTCACCAGAACCAAACCCTCATTCACCATCTCATCACCCTGCTGTCACGTCCCACCAGAGGTGGGATCCAGGAGCACCAGAACCTGCCAAGCAGAGTCAGGTGTGATTAATTAGAGATGCAGGGCCATGGTGACATTGGCTGTGACACTGCAGGGCTGGGCAGCCCTGGGGCACAGCAGGCCTGGGGGGCTGGAGGGGGTCAGGCCTTATCAAGCTGCCAGAGGAGCTGCAGGAACCCCAGGCTCAGCTCTTTGCACTAATTAAACAGCCTGCAGTGCTCTCTGCAAGAGCCAGAATGCTGACTTTGGGACTCGGCCTGAATTTAATTGGTCTGATTGCATTCCACCTCTCTGCATTCCTCAGACATTTTAATTAGCCAGACCTTCTTTCCTGCCTTTTCCTGCCTGATTGGGTGGTGGCAGAGGCATCTGTCTGCCGGCTGTCTGTGTGTCCCACCCCGGGGATGGCTGCATTTCCATGTTGAGCAATGCAATACTAATGAGGTGGCACTTCCAGTCCTGCTGCTGCTCCTGGGGACACCGGGGTGGCAGTGGCAGGGGCTGCTGTGTGACTGGCTGTGTTTTGTGTTGTCACAGCCTACCCTTCCATAGTGAGGCACCAGTCTGCAAAGGTGACACCACAGACGTGGAAATCCTCCTCCAAGCAGTCTGTATTGGTAAGAAAAAGAATAATTTTTTCTTGGGAGAGCTTCAGTTTGTTCCAGGGGAGCTACAGGAATAAGGATGGGTCCTTTGGGAGCATGGAAATAAAAGCTTCAACCCCACTGCTCCTGTTCAGGATGCAGATTAACCCCCCAGCTTCCACAGCTCTGATCAATGCTGCAAAAAATGATGTTTTGATCTAAAATATGATGCAGAAGATAGGGACGGTGCAAATCCTGTAAAATGACACTGATAGCACTTTTCCTTGTCACCCACTCTGTGTCACTCCGTGGCATCCACAGGGTGTCAGTGACAACCACATCCAAGTGCCTCGCTGGTCCTGTCCTGCAGTGGGGCAGGATCCCAGGTGAGGGGTCAGGCTGTGCTCAGGAATCACCACAGCATCTCCAGGCCCCTGCTTTCACACTGATCATGATTAGAGACACAGGGCAGAGGTCTTTTAGGGCTTGTAATCTCAAATACACAACCAGTCAATGCACTGCCTCAGGAGCACCCAGTTAATCTGGTTTTATTCACGCTGTGCTGCATTAAGGCCTTGCATGATCTGAATTAAGATTGTCGAGCCTTTGCCACCACAAATGAAACATTGTGTTTATTTTTATTTTATTTTTAATTTTTTTGTCATTTCTGACTGCACATTTGTGAGAGATGATTTAGTGTTTGGTGGAAGTGAGACCTCAGCATTCCCACACTGAGGGAAACACACAGCAGGTAGAAATTGCCTGCCTGAGGACTGCAGCTGGATCTGCCCCATTTTCACAGCTCCCCAGGAGGTGAATTCCTCTGGAAGGGATGTTCCTTGGCAGATTCTTCCAGGAAATCCAGCCTCGAGCCTTTGAAGGTGCTGCAGCAAACCAACAAAACCCTGCCATCCTTTCTGCCTTGGGTTTGACCTCTAAAACATCATCACCCACATCCATTGCGTTCCCAGGGATTTTTCTTTAATCCCCACAGAGAAAACCTGGGTAACTTCTGCCACCATCCCTTCCCTGTGTCCCTTCCTCTCCCGTGCACACATCTGTAATGACCTTTTCCTTTTTGTAGCCAATATTCACCACACAGCCCTGAGCCCAACAACTGAGCTGATAAATATAAGCATTTAAAAGCACCAAAATAGAAATACATACTGCAGGCTGCAGTATCTCTGCAGGAGCTTTTATGGTCTATTGGGCCAATAATCTGGCTTTTAAACCAGCCTTAAATGTGTATTTAAGTAATATACATTCTAAAAGGTCTGTAAATATGAATTTTCACAACGCACTGTGCTGTTTGAGGAGGAAGGTCTTTTTCACACCCAGGGAGCCGTTTTAAATGAAGCCCCCCTCTTTCAAATCTTAATTCTGTTGGAAATTAAAGCCATAAAATGCAAAGAATCTCGACAAAAGGGGAACATTGAGCAGGGAGATGGGCTGGGCTTGCTCTGCCCTTGTTTCCTGCTGTTCAATAGGGCTGCACCAAAAGGGGCTGTGGGGTTTCTCCCACCTTCTGCACGTGAGAACAAACCCAAGGCAGACTGGGCTTTAAAACCCGCTTTTTTTTACTGAATTCCCTGATTATTCCTTAAGTGGTGGGGGGTTATTAAAACCCCAATTTTTTTCCTGAATTTTGTAATTATTCCTCCAGTGGTGGGGGAATATTCCTAACTGGGCTTTAAAACCCCATTTTTTCCCCTGAATTCCGTGGTTATTCCTCCAGTGGTGGGGGAATATTCCTAACTGGGCTTTAAAACCCCATTTTTTCCCCTGAATTCTGTGGTTATTCCTTCAGTGGTGGAAGGATATTCCCAGCCAGGCTGGAGATTGTGCAGCCAGGGATCCCAGCAGAGAAATTGGCTGCTGCTCCTGCAAGGGGAGGCTGCACGACACAACTTTGCCAGGTGTTGCTGCTTGGATAAAGAACTATTTATATGTTATAACATAATTAAAAAGTATAGTATAATATACATATATTTAAAATATTTTAAATGAAGTTAAAACATAAATATTTTATTAACAGTATTTTATTAATTAATAAATATTTTAAAGTATGATAATTAAAAGTGTATAAGTAAATTAATATAATTTAATTAATAATTTAATTTAAATTAATTTAGATTAATTTTGATTTTTTAAAATTATATTATTAAAATATATATGATAGATATAAAAATATATTATAAAATATAATATTAAAATATACTTTTTTTTTTTTTAACTTACATAAAAATTTTAAAAAAACCCCAAACCACATCATCAAAAACAATTCAAAAATCCAATTCCTCGCGGTGCTGAGGCCAGGATTGGTGAGATGAGGGTGGATGGAGGGTGGGGGTCAGGGAAGGAGGGGTCAGACTGACGTGCCCCAAATTCTGCCTTGCAGTCCCATTACCGCCCCTTCTACGTCAGCAAAGGCAACGGAGCCACCTCCAACGAGGCGCCCTGAGCTGCTGAGGACGAGAGGAGAGCCAAGCTCAGCTGAGGATTGTCACACATGTCCCTGCTCCCACCACCCCTCCTGCTCCAGGGGCCACCCCTGCCCTCAGCACAGCAGGACTTTTCCCTCTGCTGTCCCCTCCTTGTCCCCTCCTTGTCCCCTCCCTGTCCCCCCAGCTGCTCTGCCCTTCCTGGGAATTGTGGATGCTTGGGTGGCACCCCCTGCTAGGCAGCTGTCCCCTTGTCCCCAGAGCTGTCACACCCCGCTGGATGCCCCAGAGCTCATCCCAAGCTCCAGCTTTTCCTCTCCACCCTGGGGACACTCAGCTCCCGCTGGGGTCACATCTCCTGGTGGCATCACAGGGTCCCCATTAGCTCAGCTCTGCTCCTCACCTGCCCAAAAAATGAGCAGGGTTTTTCCAGAGCTGGGAAGTGTGGCACCCCCTGCTAGGCAGCTGTCCCCTTGTCCCCAGAGCTGTCACACCCCGCTGGATGCCCCAGAGCTCATCCCAAGCTCCAGCTTTTCCTCTCCACCCTGGGGACACATCCCCTGGTGGCATCCCATGTCCCCAGGGTCCTCCATCAGCTCAGCTCTGCCCAAAAAGCCCAGCAGGGTTTTCCCAGAGCTGCTGGAGGAGGACAGGGAGGCTTTCCTAGCCCATTCAAGTGCCCCTCCAGCCACATTTTTGAATTAAGAAATAAAAAGCAAATCCATCCTAGTAATACAAGATTGATTAGATGCCATAGGTGCTGGGTGCTTTTCTAGTTTGTGGTGGTTTTTCTTAATTCCCTTAAACCAAAATTGATTTATACGCTGTAGTTCATGTATTTTATATTTTTTTCCCCTGCAGTGGGCAATGAGAATTACTGCCACAGCTTTTTTATTTTGCTCAGGATAATATTTTTGTATTTGTCCCCTGGACAGATGAATCACATCCAGGGCTGGAGAACCATCCCATGATCTCCCTGAGGTGATTTTCCCTCTCCATGGACAAGCCAAGGGGTTCATTCCATGCAGTGCAGGGGGAGAAATGGGAATAAGAGCCCTCAAATGCTGAAAACCAAGACCTAACAGCTCCTTTTCATGGTTTGCTCTATTCAAGCAGTTTTGGAATGGCTTCCCCCCACTTTTTCCTGCTTGCAGCACCTTGCTGAGGGAGGTCCCACTTGAAAATCCTTCCTGGCTCATCCCTTTGCAAAGATACTCATGGCTTTTTAACCCAACACCTCACCCAAAACTCCTGGGGCTGAATGTTGGTCACCCCAGAGCACTTGAAATGTCACTTTATGATGATTTTTAATTTTTTTTTCCCTATAAAGACCAGAGGGGGAAGGGGCTGGCGTGGTAGGGCAGGACGTGACAAAAGGGATGTGAAAAAAAGGGATGGAATTGCTGGGAAAAGCACTGAGGGGTTTGAGGATGTGTGTGAAGGGACAAAACCAGCCCCCTCCAGGTCTCACTGTTTTGCCCTTGAGCAGGTCCAGTAAAACCTTGCACCACCTCCTTTTTATGCTCCAAAACATGTAAATGTTTTTCCTTTTCCTCCTCCTCCTCCTCCTCAGCTTGGATGTTAACCCCTCCCATCCCTGATCAAGGCTGTGTGGTGCCAGCGGGACCCTGCCCAAGGCCACCACTGTCCCTTTCCTCCTGCTGTCCCCTCTGTGCCCCCACAGCCTCTTTGCTCCCCAAGGGCCTCCCCAGCCCTGCACACCCAAATTCCCACAAGGAATGGAGCTGCTCCCCCTTTGCCTCAGCCCTGGGGACGCCAGGACCCTGCTGGGGTCCCCCTTTTCCCCCTGGGATGGGGCACGGGGGGTTCTGGAACCCCCCCTGTGCTTCCTGGGGGGGTTCCAGCCGGGCTTTGGGGTGTGCAGGAGCTCTTTGGATCATGTCTTGGTCAGCAAAGCCTGAGGGATGATGATGATGATGATGATGATGATGATGATGATGATGATGATGATGATGATGATGACGATGATGATTCCTCCTCAGACAGGGCAGGGGGGCTCTGCTGGTGATGTAAAGGAGGCCCCTCACTGTGCACCACACTGCAGAAATAAAGGAGAAAGCTCCATGTCTGACCAAACCCAACGGGCTTTGCTCTGTCTTTGGTGTTTCTGTGCTCTCACTGGGGCTGAGTCTCTCCAAATTATGGGGCAGCAGGCCTGCAGAAGCCATTCTGTCAGCTCTCTGAGGCTGTTTGGCTGCTTTTTTGGATATTTAAGGTCAGAGGAAATTCCCACATCGTCGAGAGTCAAAAGCTGATGTACATTTCTAGTCCCACACCCCAAAAATACCCGGTTAGGTCAGTTGCCAAGCACTGGTGCCACAAAAGTCCTTCCCTGCAAGGGCATTTCTGAAAAACCCCTCAGCCTGGGCCAGAGTTCAACTGGAGGGAAATGCTCGTTCCTTTATAAGATTATTTTGGCCCAGCCTGGACCTGGATCTCCCCAGGAGGTTGATTCTGGGACCCTCCACCCTCTCGAGCCCTTCTGGGGACCTCTGGTTCTGCTCAGCTCAAAGCTCTCGTGTCCATCGCAGCTTCTCCTTCCCCTGTGGAGAGATAAAACCCCTGTGGGGTGCTGAAGATGCAGATTCGAGGCCAAAACCAAGTAGATGTAGCACTTAGAGCTGCTTAAAGGAGCAATTGTACATCCCTCTGTATGGACAAGGGGTTTTTTTACAGATTTCCAGAGGATTCCTGGCATATTTCTACTCCCAGGCATTAAATACCAGCTCCTTTTCCCCAGCCATCACCACCACTCATCCTGAAGGGCGAGGATCCCACCAATTCACTGGAGGAACTGGCAAATCCTTTTTGTTTACCCCACAAGGGAGCCAGCAGAGGAGAGAGCTCAGCTCTTTCCCATCAATTCCACTCGTTGCCTCCGTTACTGTTATTACTGTGATTAAAAAGCAATCAAAGAGAAATCTTCTTCCTGTCCTGGAACTGCTGCAGAACGTCTCGGTTCCACCACTGGAGCAGGAGAAGGGAAAATTTCCAGCACCCCCTGAGCTCCTGGGCTCAATGACAGCAGGAAATTGTGATGGAGCTCCTGGCCTGGGCAAGGAGCAGGGCTGGAATGGAGTAATGAACATTTTTAATGCAGGGAGTTGGATTAAATGAGCTTTTTTGGGGTCACTTCTCACCCAAATTACTCCATGGTCCCCTAAGGAATAGGGGTGATGGGTTTCACCAGCCCAGCCAGCAGCTGGGGGGGACACTGGGACACCCAAAGGGGCCGTCAGAGCAGGGCTCAGTGACACCCACAGGGTGACTTGGGTGAAACCAGCAGCTGTGACAGCCCTTTGGGGGTCTGGGTCAGGGAATCACAGCATGGTTTGGGCTGGAATGGACCTTAAAGGTCACCCCATTCCAAACCCTGTGGACAGCAGGTGGCTTTGGGGCTGGTCCTGGGGCAGGAGGTGGCTCCAGGATTGGTCCTGGGGCAGGAGGTGGCTCTGTGGACAATTCCAGGATGGATCCTGGGGCAGGAGGTGGCTCCAGGATTGGTCCTGGGGCAGGAGGTGGCTCCGTGGACAGTTCCAGGGTGGATCCCAGGGGCAGGTGGCAGCTCTGGGGTCATTCCTGGGTCCAGTCCAGAGGAGGAGGTGGCTCCATGGACAGTCCCAGAATTAATCCTGGGGACAGGAGGTGGCTCAGATGGGCCAGTTCTGGGGACAGGAGGTGGCTCAGATGGGTCAGTGCTGGGGACAGGAGGTGGCTCAGATGGGTCAGTGCTGGGCACAGGAGGATCTCGGGGTTGATCCCAGTGTGGATCCCGGGCAGGAGCCAGCTCGGCACCGCTGGCAGGGACAATGCCGGGGGGATGTGCTGGGGCCCTGGACAATCCCGGGGACAATCCCGGGGACAGGAGGTGGCCCTGCCGGTGCCAGGTCGCTGCTGCCGGCAGGTGTCAGCGCTCCGCCGCTCTCCATCAGGAACCCCGGCTGCCCGCAGCGCTTCCATCGCTTTTCAGCTCAAACCCAAAGCCGGGCTGTGACACCCAGCACTGCGAGCCCGTGCTCCGTCCTGCTCCCGTGTCCATCGCCCCAGGCTTCCTCGTGGGGACGGTGCCAAGGAAAATGTCACTACCCGGGCACAGAGCCTGTGCTCGGGGTGAATTCCCTGGAATATCCAGCTGAGGATCAAGGCAGCCACTTCCAAACCGTTTTTGTCTCCTAATCCATTTAGCTCACTCAACCACTTGACTTCAGGCACCAGAGCAACGCAGGCCACTGTTTTATCTTCGTACATATTAACTATAAAGTTTTAAAATGAACAATCCTTCTGAGGCGTAAACAAGAATTACAAAATCTAATTGCCTGCGAACCTTTAAATTCTCGCAATATTTTATAATGCCATAAATTTGCCACTCTCTTGCACAAAGATAACACAGAGATAAAGTGTTTGAATTTGCTAATTAGCAAACATAAAATGCAGGGACGAGGTCTTAATGAAACTATTGGGATGTTCAATCAAAGGCTATGATAGCTCTTGAATTTTCATTGCCAGGACTCAGGTCTTTGGGCTTTTAGCTCTTCAGGCTACAGACCTGGATAGAGCTTCCTACAGGTTAATATTTCCTTCAACCTGGAAAAAACAGCCCAGCATTTAAGCCAGCTAAAGCACGCATGAATAGTTATGGTAATTAATTTGCACATTTTAGTGCTTTTAAAGGAATAATCTTACACCCTGCCTTCAGCCACCTATCTAGACCTGGAGTAGTAAAGCTTCTTATATATGAGAGCAATGAAGGATGAATATTTTGTCCTTTCTGTTTGTTATTACCAGGTCTTCAGGTATTTTGTAAATAAGTTTTAACGCTGTTGTGAATGGGAGTTTTCAATGCCTTCCCTCTGAGAAACCAGGCAGCATCAGGACAGAGATGGACCCACAGGAGCAGCGTCCCTGGCACTGCTGATCCTGAACCCCGTGCTCTGGGATGTGTTTTGGGGAGGATTTACAGCAAATTCTGTCAAACTCTGCCTCAGAGTGTTTGTTTACCCTGATAGGACCTGATCCTATCAGTCTTCCCGTGGTTGGCACCCCAAACCTGGTTCAGGATGGCTTTGATGAGCTCCAGAAAGAGTTTGACAAGTCCTAGATGTCCCCAAACCCTGCTGAAGCTGGCCTCAATGGGCCAACACATCCCAAGGCTTCTTGGGTTGGCTTTGCTGCCATCAGGAGCTGCTCATCACCCCCTGCATCAGCCCACCATCAGCTCAGGGTGCTTTTATTCAATACCTCAGGGCCAGAGTTGGTTGTGGGGTCTCTGCAACTCAGGCACTGCAGCACAGCTGGCTGGGTTTGCAGGGACACTCACAGAAGGGGTTTTTCTGGGATCCTTGGCCCCAAACCCCAGCAGGAGCTCCAGCCCTGCAGACCAGCCCTGCCTCTCCTTGCTCCAGCAGCCTGCCCAACCCCATAACCTTTTCCCTGTCTTTGGCTGTCACCGTCATATTTTCTGAAAAATCCCTTCTCCAGGATTCTTCTGGGAAGCTGAGAAGCCTCTGACAAAAAGGAAAACAATAATTATCTCATTTGCTTCTCCTGTGTTTTGCTGCTTTGGAATATGGTTGGACATTGTTTAGCAACTGGTGATTCTTTCATTGGTTTCATGTGAATTATTTTACTTATTGGGCAGTCAGGGTAGAGCTGTGTCAGGACCCTGGAGAGAGAGTCATGAGTTTCATTATTATATTTTTAGCCTTCTGTCTGTATCCTTTCAGTATTCTTTAGTATAGTTTAGTTTAATATTCTTTAACATAATATAATATCTTAAAATAAGCAATTAGCCTTCTGAGAACATGGAGTCAGATCCATCATTGTCTGGGAACCCCACAAATACAATAGTAAGAAGTTAGTTAGAAGTTAGAAGTAAGCATGATGTAGTATAGTATAATAAAGTAATTAATTAGCCTTCTGATATCATAGAGACAGATGTCAATCATCATTTCCTCCATCAGGGCATCACCTGATTTTACTGCAGGACCCAGCCCTGCCTCTCCCTGCTCCAGCAGTCTGACCAACCCCATCACCTTTTCCCTGCCTTTGGCTCTGTCAGCAGCAGGAAATCTCCTTGACAGGGGCACCTTTAAAGGCCACAGCCCGCCCATGTGTGCTCTGTACGTGGAGCTTCCTACAAAGGCAAGATTTACTTCCTACAAAGGCAAGATTTACTTCCATCTTCTCCTCCTGCTCGGGTCCTCCAGGGGACGACAGCTCCACAGCCGTGCTCTGCCTCCTGCTTATGGATTCTGTGAGTACTTTGCCATTGCAAATCCTGCAGGATTTAATATCCACTCTGTAATCTACTGGCACCACCAGGCATTATCTAACTAAACCTTAAATTGAAAATGCTCATCTGCTCATTCTCCCCAAGCCATGCTGAGCAGGACGGGCTCGCCGAGTCCCCTGGCATTGAATCTCACTCTAATTAAAATCCAGCAGCTCTGCCCGCTGTGACACTCAGCTGCCTGGTGCCACGAGTGTCACAGGCGTGTCAGGAGCCGTGTGGAGCTGGGACAGCAGTGCCAGCCTCCAGCCTGACTCTGCTTTACCAGACCTGCCCCTGTCCCACCTCCAGCGCAGCATCTCCTCAATTCTGGTCTTTATTTTCCTCTGCTCAGCCAATTTTGGTTCTGTTTGGGCCAGTTTGTCACTGAGAGTCCAACTCCTTGTCCCAAGCCATTACCAGAATTTAGTGATCATGGCCATCCTGTTTGGGCCAGTTTGTCACTGAGGGTGTCCAGCTCCTTGTCCCAAGCCATTACCAGAATTTAGGGATCAGGGCCATCCTGTTTGGGCCAGTTTGTCACTGAGGGTCCAGCTCCTTGTCCCAAACCATTACCAGAATTTAGGGATCAGGGCCATTCTGTTTGGGCCAGTTTGTCACTGAGGGGGTCCAGCTCCTTGTCCCAAGCCATTACCAGACTTCAGTGATCAGCGAGGAAATTTTTCAGAGTCTGGCACTTGGAAGACAAGAAATTACAGAGGACAATTTGGGCTAAGAACTGCTCTGACCCTCTTAAATCAGTTCTTCAGAGCCTCCCCTGAGGGCCCACAGCAATTTCCTTCAGCTTTACTCAAAGGCCAGGCTCTCCTCCAGGCTTTTCCACAGGTAGTTCTGCAGATCTGAGATGGCAATTGCATTTCCAGCAAGCCCAGTTCCTTTCTTTCTGCCACACCACAAGCTCTGTTTCCTGCCACAGAGCTCCAATTCCTGGCTGTGGCTTCAGCAGCTCTCAAAGCCCTGGGTCCCACATGAACCTGATGCAGTGTCCAGATCCCCACACAGAAGGGACATTTATCCCTTGCTCCATTTCCTGCAGGCAGCTCTCACTGAACTCTCCTTGCCAGGTGTTTCTAATTCTACTTATTTAAAAAACCACCAAAAAAGTGCAGTTTGTCCCAGTGCTTGATTCCTTCAGCGTGGATTCTTGGTGGATCTAGCCACACTTCACACCTCTCAGACATTTCCCAGTCACTCCACGCTGATATCCAGGTGCTCAGAGCATCTCTGACACCTTTTTGTCATTCCTCCTTCACACTCCTCTTAATTGAGTGACGCTCACCTGCCCTCCCCCTTTGCAGCACATTTGAAATACAAATCCACTGCTTTGATTTGCTTGGCGTTTTTCTCCCCCTTTCCTAAGAGATGAAGGAGATAAACCTCCCAGTCCCTGCAGCAAATCCAGAAATCCTGCAGTACAAATAACTGAAAATATTTTTTACAATAGTCATCCTGGTATTTACATATTTGCTCCCAGTCTCCCCATCTAATTAGGGCTCTGAATCTCATACTCACTTTTGCTGGCAGAGAGCTCCATTGTTTCCCTGGTTTGGGGCTGTGGCTGACTGGAAGGCTGTGGAATAATCCCATTTATGCCTTCGGTGGAGGATGAGGCAAAAAACTGAATGCTCCAGTGAGATTTTTGTAAAAGCAGAGGATGGCCCAGGTGATTTTAATTCTGTTTATACCACAGAGCATCCATGGGTTCAAATAGGGGCAAAGACCAAGCTCCTGGGTGAAAGAATTTTTGAATTCAATATCTTTGTTTGAAAATCTTTTGTAAAAGAGCCAGGAAATTGCAATGGTACACGCGGAGAAATTCTTGGGTGCTGAAATCAAACCCACCACTGGCAAAAATCTGGGGATGGAGGGGGAAAACACCAGAAAAATGACAACAACAGAGGCAGGAGGAGCTTTTCCAGCAGGTTCTGCAGAGACCTGGATTGTCCCCCAGTGGGAGCTGGAGTTTGCTGCTCTTCACGTGTGGGGCTGAGCCAAGGGCAGGAGGCTCAGCCCCTCCAGATCTCTCCTGAATTTGTGCAGCTTTTGGTGCCTGGGAGAAAGGATGGGCTGGCACAGGAGCCAGACCTGCCCAGGAGGAGCAGCCTTGGAATGCCCATCCCAGAATTGCTGCCAGGCTCAGGGCTGTGGCACCTTGACAGGTAAATGAATTCAAACCCTGTTTTTCCATTTAAATGATTTGGGTTTGACTAAGGGCAAAGGGGAAGGGGAGGGCAGAAGTTGTGAAAAGACAGCAGGAAAAGGAAACCATCTGAAAAGATGGGAATTGGGAATTTTATCCTCATTTCCTCTGTTTCCCTGACACGTGGAAGGAGGATAACATCTCCTGGTTCAGCAGGGTGTGCAAAATCCCTCTGCCAGTGTGGGATTAACTGAGCCTTTATCAGCTACTCTGCCACCCTCTGAAGTTCTCTTTTTACCCACAGCAGGGTGAAGAGCCACCGGTGGGGCCGAGATTTGTGCTGCTGGCACAGAGATCCCATCCTGGCATTTTGCTGTTCCAGAAATAAACTTCGGCTTAGGATTTATCTGCTCTTGGTTAATGCCTCAGGAAAGCAGCCAAGAAAGAGCCCTGATGTGCTGTGGACTGGCCCAAGGGGAGCTGGTAGCTAAAGACAGCTAAAAGCCAGAGAAATTCTGGCTCCTGAGCCCTGCCCTATTTCTTTTGTGACATTTGGAACCCAAATCACTTGGATTTTTCAGCTCCAGGGATGTGCATTGGCTCAAGAGCCCACAAAGCATTTCCACCTTGGAGTCGTGTGAAGTTTGGGCTGCACTGACCCTAAGATGGAATTTGGGGATCTCTGCCAAAAGAATTGCTCAGAAAACTCTCAGCACTGGGGAGATTGTGGTGGGCAGAGAAATGTGTCACTCTAGGACACAAAATAAAATGACACACATGCTGGAACCTCTAAGGTGAAAGAAGGGAAGTTTAATTCTGACTCTAACATTTATAGATTTTCAAAAGTGACAGTGGATTGGAGGGTGACAGTGCCACCTCTCCAATGACACTGGACAAACCAACAGTCCATCACATTTCTCCTCCTCCAGAGAAGAATATAAAACAATAAGTTATTTACATAAAGTGTGTGAGAAAGTTCGTTACAAAATGTAAACATCAGAAGGCTTAGAAGAACTTAAAAAAACCCCAAAACAACAGAAATCCTCTCTGGTCCTGCTTTTCCTACTGAGAATTCCCAGCTCCTCTCCCCTGATCCCCCTCATGTCCCTGCTCCATGGAACTCCTGCAGGAGGAGCCTGAGATGGGTCTCAGAGGGCAGAGGAGCCCTGGGAGCAGGAGTGACAGCCTGGAGGAGGCAGGAAAATGGCCTCAAAATCCCAGGTTTGTCAGCAGGAGAATCGTTTGGAAATCCACTCACTCGGATTTCTGGTGTTTCCCCACCTCACTGGGCTTGGGCTCTGCTGTTTGCTGGGGACAGACAGGGAGAAACTGATTTTGGGAGGGACTGAGCTGATTTTTGGGGCTCCAGACTAAAGGGGAAAAGCCCAAACAAAGATCTGCTGCTGTTCCTGGCTGTGCCATCATTGTTATAAATCACATACCCAAAACTTTATCCTGTCCTGAACTCCCTCCTCCCAATGGGCCTGTTTAAAATCATATTTTGCTGCTCTGATGCTGCTGCTGGCAATGCAAATTCAGAATATTTAGAGGAGAAAAGTGCCCTGCCCTAATTTCCAACACTCAACCTTTGAACCTTCCACTTCTCCCTAATTTTAGGGGATTTGTGATGAAAGAATCCAGCTTTTATTTTTTAAATCCAGCATTTTTTTGCTCATTGTGACTCCCTATCACAACTTGGGTTAAACTTTCCCCAATTCCTGCTCGTTAACATAATTTGGTGGATTTCTTCTGTGTCTCAGCTCTACCCCTGATTATTAATGGGATCACAACAACAACAACAACAAAAATGCCCCTCCCTTTGCCAATAATTCCTGATGCAGGTGGTTTGGGGGTGCAAAGTAGGTCATAAAACATCCTGACTGTGGGATAAACTGAATTAAAATTACCTGGGCCATCCTCTGCTTTTGTGCTCTACCATCAGATGTAACAAAATTCCAGGACTTGCACAGACTTGCTGCAAGTCCTTTATCTTTAATCTGTTTTCTTTCTGCTGATTAGAGCTTTCCTAATATTGGGGGTGTTAATTGATGCAGATTTATGCAGCCTGGCAGAATTTATGTGAGTGCACATCAGGAAGAAGAGGGGAAATTGTCAGAGATGTCCAGAGAGAGGGAAGCATTTGGAGGGGCTCTGCATCCAAGCTGAATTCCATAATTCTGGACATGAGGAACCATCTTAACCTCAACAGGGAGAAAATCAGGGAAACCTTGAATTGTGATAATTCCAAGAGGTTTTTGCTGCTCATATTCCATGGCAAGGGGAGAGGCAGCTCCTCCTGGGTGCTCAGCACACCCCAAAATCCCAAATTCCCACTGGATTTGGGGATGGTTGTCCCAGCAGTAACAGGGCCTGCAGAGCCTTTCCTGATTCCAAACTTTGATTTCTCCATGGAAACTCACTCTGTGTCCTCAGCAGCTCGTGGATTTTTTTTCTCCTTTGGGAAAAATAAGGATTCACATCTTGTTTGTCACTGTTGTCTCGTTCCTGCCGCTGACCCGGGGATAAGGATCTGGCACAGAACATTTTATCAGCTGTAGGAAATGTTCTTTCTTTATTAATTCCATCTGGGATCAATAATTAATGCTGCTGTCTCCTTTGCAATCCCCCTCAGTGGGAGAGGAGGTCGGGATTTCACTGCTTTGTGTTCCTTGGAGCCCTCAAAATCCCAAAATACACAAGGATTCCTATATTATGAAACTTTTTTTCTTTGTTTAGGAGTCAGCAAGATCCAAATTTATGGGGACAAGGTGGATAACTGGGACTAGAATTCCCAGCACAGAGAAAAGGCAGCAAAGATTGAGCAAGGATCATCCCATTCCTCCCTGGTCAGGGAGAAAAATAATTCAGAGAGACTTTTGGGGCAGAAAGTGAACTTTAAATTGGTAGGAAAAGCAGGAGCAAAGAGGATTTCTCTGCCCACCACAATCTCCCCAGTGCTGAGAGTTTTCTGAGCAATTCTTTTGGCAGAGATCCCCAAATTCCATCTTGGGGTCAGTGCAGCCCAAACTTCACATGACTCCAAGGTGGAAATGCTTTGTGGGCTCTTGAGCCAATGCACATCCCTGGAGCATGTGTGAGCTGAAAAATCCAAGTGATTTGGGTTCCAAACGTCACAAAACAAATAGGGCAGGGCTCAGGAGCCAGAATTTCTCTGGCTTTTAGCTGGAAATCCTGTGTTCCACAGCACTCAAGGAAAACATTCCCTTCCTCCAATCCTTCATGGGGATCCTGTGCCAGCTCCCAACTTTCTGAATCCCATTCCAGATAATTCCAAACTTTCCCATTTATTCCTGATCCCAGCCCATCAGATCTCCCAAAAACCGCCCACCCTACCTGTCCTTACTTCACTTTTCTCCTGGAGCTGCTCTTCCCTCCCTTCTCCAGCACAGAAACCGTGGAGAGCACCACTGGAGGGCCCACAAGTTGTTTGAAGGAGCCTATCCTATATTTGCCACCCCCTGGAGTTAAAATATAATGAGCTCTATAAATAATAAATAAATCAGCAATTCTTTTTCATGTCTTTGGAAAGGCTATTCTCTAAGGCTACCCAGCTTTTAGAATTTTTAATGGCACTGCAAGGCTGGGGGAGCCAGAGAGTTTTTCTTTTTGATTTTAAAGATAAACACATGATTCATGGAGGTGAAGTTTTAAGAAAAGCCCAAAAAAAAAAAAAAAGAAAAAGAAAAAAAAAAAAAAAAAGAAAAAAATCAAGGAAATCTGATGAAATCATCTTTTTTCAGTTCAGTGGAAAGACTGGGGAAAAGTGGACTAAGTTTTACTTGGAACCTCCTAAGAGAAAACATTTCCTCCCACCAGACAAACAGATCAAGCTTTTTTAATGCATCTACACATGGTATTTTGAACAGCTCCTCTACATGAACACGGTGCTTGAAAGGATGAGCTCAGTGTCTGACACATCCCCAAAAAGGGAGACACTAAATGGGGAATAGGAGATTGAGCTGTGCTTATTTATTTGGGATTTTTTTGTTGGTGTAGGGACAACAGTTCAGATTGTCTTTAGGGTATCGATAATAGAAATTCCCCAGATTTGGGGAATTTCTATTATTAATACCCCAAACTATCATAATACCCTAATATCCTATATTATCTTACCCATAATACCCTAAATATCATATATTAGGAAAATTAAACCCAAACATCCTCGGTGAAAATTATCACAGCTGAGATGTGGAAGAGAAAAAAAAAATTCAAGAAAGCCTTCCCCACCTGCTTGCTTCCTAATGAGGCATTTTCCAGCACTGAGGAGAGAATTCCCTGTGGAATGGGAGCACCAGGATGAGGATGTGCTGGAATTTACACCCAGCAGAGCTGCAGGGAAGGGGGCAAAGGGATGGGAATCAAAATAACTCACACAGACCTTGATATTTCCACTGTCTCTGCTTCCACCTCTGCCCCAGAGAAAATCCCAAACCCAAAACCTGGGAGGTTTGTGGTGGAAAACATCCCCAAACTCCTCAGCTACCCCTGGTCAAGCAGGGTTTTATTTTGCTTCTGTTTTCCCAAGAATCAGAGCAAAGCCTCCAGAGCAATATCAATGTAATCAATGTGAATAAACACCCACGGGAGGATGGCAGCACGGCCAAAGGGAGCCAGTGACGGAATAAAAGCAAGGGCAGGGGGTTATTTTGGGATTTGTTTTGTTCTTCTGTCATTCCCTATCCATTTCCCCCCAAGGAAAATAGAAGTGGAACAGAATTCTTGGGCATTGCCAAGGAAAAAACAGGTTTTAGTTGAGCCTAAAATAGCCTGGGTAAAATCTCTTTTCTTGAGGCAGTGGGAAACACATCCCAAAGTTATGACCCCAGGAAGGGGTGCCCAAATTTCCTGTCAGTCAGAGTTTGGCTGCTTAATTACCTGTCTAATTACCTGTCTAATTACCTGGACATTGCCTGTCTAATTAGCTGTACCACTCTGGCAAGAGAGCTGCTGCTGGGCTGGATGTGTGGGCAGCAATTTTGTTGTCCCAGGAAAAGCCTTTCCACGTGGAAATCACGGAGCAGAGGCTTCACCTGCACCTCTTTGCACCTGAGGAGGCTCAAAAGCACCACAGGACAAGCAGAGCACCCGAGACCTCCAAAACACTTCCCAAAAACCCTAATTAAGGGAGTTTTTTTTAGTTCTTTCTCATACCTGCCTGAGAAGTTGAATATTTCCCAGTCTGTATTTGTGGGATGAGTCATTTGCTGCCAATTTGGGAAAACCTGGGGTTCGCTTTGAAGGCGGGGAGGTTTTGTTTCCGTGGAGTTGGGAGCTGGCAGGGGGGGATTTGTCTCAAATCGAGCCGTGTCTGCATTTTGGGTTGCCAGGCAGGTTCTCCCAGAGTGATCAGCTGCAGAGCTGAGCAAACTTGGGGGAAAATC